CCAAATATATATAAAATTATAAAATATATAATATTTATATATATATATATATATATATTTATTAATAGATAAAATATGGATACAAAAATAAAGCATAGGGGGTGAGTTTATATACAGTGGCAGTTGGGGTAATTACCCCGCTGATATGAATTGGGCAAGAACTTACAGGGTGGAGGTTGGGGTGGTTTAAAAAGTGTGAAAATCCCGATTCAGTGATTTGTGTTAAGGTGGGTGTCAGGGAGAGGCGTTTAATATAAAGGGAAATAAGAAAAAATTAAAAATTTTTTAATTTTTAAAAAAAAATTAAATTTAAAAGGGTATATAAGTGTGAAAGGGTAAAGGCGGGGGATAAGGAGTTAAACAACTTTAAAAAAAGAAATTTTGTTAGTTCACAAATTTAGTTTGAAAAGGGTTGTTAATGAGTTAAGTTAAGAAACACGAGGACAAAGGGTTTGTCTTTATTAAAAAAAATATTTTAAATAAAAAGGGATTGGAAATTTGGGAAAAATTTGAGGAATTTAAATTTGGTAAAAAATTTGTATAGGAAGAAGAATTAAAATATTTTATTGGGAAAAACTTAGATTTATGAATTTTTTGATTAATAATTTAAATTTTAAAACACATGTTTTATAAAGAAGTGGAAATTATTAACTGGTAAATTTGGGGAGTTATCAGTTAATTAAATAAAGTGTAGAAAATTAGAACGTAATTGACCGACTGAATAGCTATAAAGGGCGGAAAAAGAAAGGAGTGCAGAAAAAAGGATTGTATGTTGGTGGGATTGAAAGATGAGGTTTGAAAATCCAAAAAGGGGGTATAATGAGGAGAAGAGGGATCTGGAAGAAGCCCCGAGAAAGACCCTTTAAACCCCCGGGGGAATGTGGTTTTGGTTTGCTTTTAAAAAATGTAAAAAATAATCCTGATCAAAGCCTATGAGTTCCCTGGCAAAAGATTCAAAAAGGCGGATATGACAGGGAAAATTTGGAGGTCCAATCGGGAACGTGTTTCAAGAAGAAAGTTAGAGTTTACCAAATAGGGAACGATACAGGGGTGAAGTTAAAAACCCAATAGCCCCTAAAAGGGAGAAAGAATAGAAAAAAATCCGGATAGCAAATCCATATCAAAAGGTTGAATGGGTAAGGCAAGTGCCACGATTAGTTAAAATTTAAACCCCGAGCAATGGGTTTAAGAGGGGTTTGCTGCCCCGGATAGACAAGGGGTAATCATAAAGAACAAAGAACAGATGTATTTAAAAGCTTGCAACTGACAATGAAATGGGTTGTGAAAAAGGTGTAAAGGAATTCAGGAAAATTTGGAGATGGTTAAATTTTAAAAGAACAAAATAGAGAACAAGCGTCTTGCGTACGGTGAAATCTGAAAAGGAAGTTGATGTTTTTCATAACGAAAGAAAGGTGAGAAAAGAGTTTATGAGATCAAATTGCTGAAGTGTTTTATTGGAGAAGAAGAGGAGGGCGGACTAACCCAAATTTTGGGGGCTGGAAATTTTGAAGTAGAGGGAAATTTAATTGATAGGGAAAATGAGGAATTAAAATTATCGGGAGAAAAAACTTTTTTTGGCAAAAAAAGGAAAAAATGAAGATTACATTCAGGTCTTACTTGGAACTGGTATAATTGCACCGAGAAATGGGAGGGATGAGAACTTCAAATGGGGAAAAACCCCCGAAAATTTTGGTTGGGTTGAGGCGGGATATCCAATCCCGATAAAAGGTTTTGATGGTTTACCTAGAAAATGGACGAGAAACAAGGGCCCCCAAAGGATCAAACCCATGGAAGGAAGGCGGGGGGGTCCCCTGAATTTTGGAGCAGGGGGAAGAAATGTTTACGGAAATCCAGCAGGGAGTACCCCTTGAAGGATAATGAAAAAAGTTTAAAAAATTGGAACGTGAACATGGCCCCCAAAGAAAAGCAAAGTAAAGATTAGGAAAACCGAAGGGGCTGGGGCCCGGAATGGAAATACTGCCCCACTCTAAGGGGGGTTTAAGCCCTTAACTTAAAGCTGGAGGACAAGCTCTGAAGCGTATGACGGGGTGTGGTGAAAAATTTTCGGGCACCGCTGCCGGTGGGTCCGGTTTTTGATAAAAAAATTTTAAACCCCTTAAATTTTCACACACAGAAACAGATTTTCCATGTGTTTTATACGTGTTTCCCAATTTATGAGCAACCCTGGGAAAATTTTTATTCTTTAAGTTTTTTAACCATGTGCGGGCTGTTCCACAAGGCACAGTACTCGCTCCCATCTTGTTTCTCATCCTCATATCTGACATAGACAAGGATGTCAGCCACAGCACCGTGTCTTCCTTTGCAGATGACACCCGAATCTGCATGACAGTGTCTTTCATTGCAGACACTGCAAGACCCCAGGCGGACATCAACCAAATCTTTCAGTGGGCTGCAGAAAACAATATGAAGTTCAACGATGAGAAATTTTAATTACTCCGATATGGTAAACATGAGGAAATTAAAACTTCATCAGAGTACAAAACAAATTCTGGCCACAAAATATAGCGAAAAACCAACGTCAAAGACCTGGGAGTGATCATGTCGGAGGATCTCACCTTCAAGGACCATAACATTGTATCAATCGCATCTGCTAGAAAAATGACAGGATGGATAATGAGAACCTTCAAAACTAGGGATGCCAAGCCCATGATAACACTCTTCAGGTCACTTGTTCTGTCTAGGCTGGAATATTGCTGCACACTAACAGCACCTTTCAAGGCAGGTGAAATTGCTGACCTAGAAAATGTACAGAGAACCTTCACGGCGCGCATAACAGAGATAAAACACCTCGATTACTGGGAGCGCTTGAGGTTCCTAAACCTGTACTCCCTGGAACGCAGGCGGGAGAGATACATGATTATATACACCTGGAAAATCCTAGAGGGACTAGTACCGAACTTGCACACGAAAATCACTCACAATGAAAGCAAAAGACTCGGCAGACGATGCAACATCCCCCCAATGAAAAGCAGGGATGTCACTAGCACGTTAAGAGACAATACAGTAAGTGTCAGGGGCCCGAGACTGTTCAACTGCCTCCCAGCATACATAAGGGGGATTACCAAAAGACCCCTTACTGTCTTCAAGCTGGCACTGGACAAGCATCTGAAGTCGGTACCTGACCAGCCGGGCTGTGGCTCGTACGTTGGATTGCGTGCAGCCAGCAGTAACAGCCTGGTTGATCAGGCTCTGATCCACCATGAGGCCTGGTCACAGACCGGGCCGCGGGGGCGTTGACCCCCGGAACTCTCTCCAGGTAAACTTGCAAATCGAAGGAACTTTACATGTGTAAAGATGTATTACGATGTATAATATTCCTAGTGATAAAGGGCAAGATCTTTTTTATTTATTATTATTTATTTCATTTATTAACGTCTGGAAGCATGTGCAGCAGTGTCAGATAGTGACGTTTTAGAAGGACATTGAACATCACATACTGACGTTTTAAAGCCACGATGGTATAAGGAGGCGGTATGATCATACACACCTTCCTGTCTCTTGTATACAGAGGCAGTATGATCATACACACCTTCCTGTCTCTTGTATACAGAGGTAGTATGATGATACACACCTTCCTGTCTCTTGTATACAGAGGCAGTATGATCATACACACCTTCCTGTCTCGTGTATACAGAGGCAGTATGATGATACACACCTTCCTGTCTCTTGTATACAGAGGCAGTATGATCATACACACCTTCCTGTCTCGTGTATACAGAGGCAGTATGATCATACACACCTTCCTGTCTCGTGTATACAGAGGCAGTATGATAATACACACCTTCCTGTCTCTTGTATACAGAGGCAGTATGATCATACACACCTTCCTGTCTCGTGTATACAGAGGCAGTATGATCATACACACCTTCCTGTCTCGTGTATACAGAGGCAGTATGATCACACACACCTTCCTGTCTCGTGTATACAGAGGCAGTATGATAATACACACCTTCCTGTCTCTTGTATACAGAGGCAGTATGATCATACACACCTTCCTGTCTCGTGTATACAGAGGCAGTATGATAATACACACCTTCCTGTCTCGTGTATACAGAGGCAGTATGATAATACACACCTTCCTGTCTCGTGTATACAGAGGCAGTATGATCATACACACCTTCCTGTCTCTTGTATACAGAGGCAGTATGATCATACACACCTTCCTGTCTCGTGTATACAGAGGCAGTATGATCATACACACCTTCCTGTCTCTTGTATACAGAGGCAGTATGATCATACACACCTTCCTGTCTCGTGTATACAGAGGCAATATGATCATACACACCTTCCTGTCTCTTGTATACAGAGGCAGTATGATAATACACACCTTCCTGTCTCGTGTATACAGAGGCAGTATGATAATACACATCTTCCTGTCTCGTGTATACAGAGGCAGTATGATCATATACACCCTCCTGTCTCTTGTATACAGAGGCAGTATGATCATACACACCTTTCTGTCTCTTGTATACAGAGGCAGTATGATAATACACGCCTTTCTGTCTCTTGTATACAGAGGCAGTATGATCATATACACCCTCCTGTCTCTTGTATACAGAGGCAGTATGATCATACACATCCTTCTGTCTAGTATATAAAGAGGCAGTATGATCATACACATCCTTCTGTCTAGTATATAAAGAGGCAGTATGATACCCTCCTGTCTAGTGTATGAAGAGGCAGTATGGTCATACACACCCTCCTGTCTCCTGTATAAAGAAGCAGTATGATCATACACACCCTCCTTTTTAGTGTATGAAGAGGCTGTATGATCATACACACTCTCCTGTCTTACGTACAGAGGCAGTATGATCATACACGCCCTCTCATTAGACACGGAGGGTTATAATTACTCGTGCGTTAATTATTTAACGATTATCTCGTTAAGCAGTTGCTACTTGTCCTGAATTCTAAGTGTAATGAAGCTACGGAAGGTAATTAATACAGGAGAAAGTAACTTTTGTAACGATTATATTTAAATTTCGGTTATGTACAGTTAATTGTTGGGTTTCAAACCTATCGACTACACGAGAGTCATTAAGGCTGCACTCCCCTTACTATCATCAAGACTACTTGAATCCTGAAAATGCTCAAGTTTCTCAGTGTATCTTCATGCAAAATATATACACTTTTCTGTATATATACCCTGTATACACACCTCTAGGTGTATATAACCCTGGATATATACCTCTTGGTGTATATAACCCTATATATACACCTCTGTGTATATAACCCTATATATACACCTCTATGTATATAACCCTATATATACACCTCTATGTATATAACCCTATATATACACCTCTGTGTGTATATACCCTAGTATATACACCTCTGTGTGTATATACCCTAGTATATACACCTCTGTGTGTATATACCCTGGTATATACACCTCTCGGTGTATGATCTTAATGATTTATAAAATATTTCTGATAGATAAAAGGGTATAATGACCATCTTTTAGTATAAATAAAATATGTACGCTTTATTTATTAAATAATATAAATTAGGTTTAGTGTATGTTTTTTTGTGTATTAGTTAAGAGATGATACAGTACCCTGCCAACACTGGGTATTTGCCAACAGATGGTACAGTACCCTGTCAAAAGTGTCCTAATATTCAGGTGAATCTGACGTAGATACTGTTCTCGCTATCGTGGGCGGAGCCTCTCTCTGCTTTCCACCCACCGCCTTCGCTATCACCCACGCCCACAACACCCAGTGAACCTCTCAGAACCACCCTTGCCACGGGGCCCAGGTTGTCCACCTCCTCGTAGATGTGGTTGTCGGGGTCGTCGTTGTCGTAGTCGGTTTTGTAGTAGTCGTTTTCGATGTTGGGGAAGCCTCCGACGACCATAGTTCCTGGTACAGTTTCCTCGTGTAGATGATTCTGGTCTTCCTTCTCTTTCACCTTCCTCCTCCTTACCATCAGTACAATTGTGGTGATGACGATGAAGACCATAATGGCTACAGTTAAAGCAGCGACGATGATCACTGTGTGCCAGGATAACCCAAAGATGGGGGAGGTAGACCAGTAATTAGTGGCGCTCTCAGGTTTTGTGAAGTACACCATCGTGGAGTGTTCTTTAGGAACCTGTACGTTTTCTGTGGTTATTGATGCCGTTGGAGGTATAACTACAGAAGTTTGGTGAGAGGTAACTGGATCTCCTTTAGTTTCAACGTGTGATGGCTGTGTTAGTGGCGGTGGTGGTAGTAGTGGTAGTATTGGTGGTGGTGGTGGTAGTAGTGGTAGTATTGGTGGGGGTGGGGGTGTTGTAGGGGGAGGGAAATCAGTGGGGTCGCAGTTATTTGCATAGGATAGTGAGCCACTGACGTAGACCTCAAAAGTACGACCTTTATTGAGGGTTGCAATTAATGTTTTCCTTGGTTGCCTGTCAACATGGAGGTGATACGAAGTTTGCAACAAAGCTGAGGTCTTGCTCGTCATGCGTATATTGTACCACTTGTCTGGTTGGTTTAGCTCTCTATTGTCTACAGTGATTTCACCAGTGTTTCCCAGGTATGCTATGACTTTCACTTGTAAGGACTTGAAGCCCTGGCCAGGCCTGAGGTAGAAGAACAACTCTGGAGAACTCTGGGAGAAGAGGAGACACCTGCCAGAATGTGGAGAAGTGAGGGAGTAAGTCGGACAACCGTAGCTGACTTGATATTGTCTAATGCAATCGTGAGAGACAGCAGATACCACTGCTATAGTGACCATCAGTGCTAGAACCACCGTCAGGCGCAACAGTGACACTCTTTGGCTCATGGTGTTTCTTGAAGTTGAAAACGACGACGATAACTTCGCTGACACCTTGTGTGTGTATGTCACACACTGTTTCAGGATATATGCTGTTGTGTGCACGAATCACCGTGAATATCATGTATATTGCCCGGCACTCGGTATTCAAGCACTTATCATGAGATCATTGTTGGTAATAGTTTACCTGGGGTATACCCCCTTGCCACAGCGAACTTGACACAGCTTCATTCTACACAGTCTTTTAAAGTATACCCAGGCTACACAGTCTTTAAGGTGTACGTATTACACAGTACCTTTAAGGAATATCCGTGCTTCACAATACTTTTTTAAGATTTGTTCATTCAACGAAGTGTCTTTGTGGTATACTTTTAGACTATACCCTTTCTATACGGTGTCTTTTTGAAGGTATACAATTATTGCTACACTATATCTTTAAGGTATGCTTGCTAAGCGATGTAATTTATAATTAACGTTTACCACACCAGATAATATTGTCTTTATGTATAACTGCACTATATTGCTTTCTTCAGGTGTACCTGTGTACATGATGCCTTCATTTGTGCATGCAGGGTCCTTTCTGAGGTACACCAAATGCAGCAGTGCCACAGTGAAGTCTTGTATGTATAGCAGTAGCAGACTGGCACCCTGGGTTCACCCTGGTGTACTGCCAGTGCCACACAGTGCCACGGTCGTCTCGTACGTATACCAGTAGAATAGTGGCGCCCTGAGGTTCACCCTGGTGTACCGTCAGTGCCACACAGTGTCACAGTGGAGTCTTGTACGTATACCAGTAGGAAGTGGCACCCTAGGTTCACCCTGGTGTACTGCTAGTGCCACACAGTGCCACGGTGGAGTCTCGCACGTATATCAGTAGGATAGTGGCAACCAGGCGTCCACTCCGACGGAGTGCCACGCGGACCATTCACCGGGAATCCCTTATCCTGTAGCTGTCGTTGACCAGGGAGCGCTCAACCCTCAAGGGTCATAAAAAGGCTGGGGAATGGGACGCTATCAAGGTCGATCCTGGGAAGGTCAGGTTTGCTCTAGTCCCTTGGATCAAGGCGGCATTCCTAAAAGTAGAAGATAGTGCCGAATGGTCACGTGTGAAGCTTTGGAAACTTGAGGTAAGAATAATAGACCTCGTGGCTTCCTGTCGTTAAGGTCACTTTTGCCTGACTTGTGACGTGGTTTCCCACCACCTGATGACGTCAGCCATGTTTACATCAGTGTGTACACTCACCTAGTTGTGGTTGCAGGGGTCGATTCATAGCTCCTGGCCCCGCCTCTTCACTGGCTGCTACTGTATGTGTGTCATGCGGGTTTAGTGCTTCCCATGAATCTAATAATAATCGAATCATTATAGAGTAAGACTACTACTAATAGTATTAGCAATAATAATTACAGTAATCGAATCATTATAAAGAGTAAAAAATAATAGTATTAGCAATAATAATAATAATAATAGTGGTGTGCCATATGCTGTGCCTCACACATTTCCCCGAAGTTAACTTTCTCTTATAATTGCGTTGTTCACCAGAAAGTAATTCCCCAGGATGTTGTGTGAGTTGTTGGGTAGCAGTGTTTCCTGTGCTTGAGCTGGATCCACCAGGCTGTGATGGATATGTGGGGACAAGGGCTGCAGCCTGGTTGATTAGGCAAGTACTAGACAAGTCTAGTACAGGGCCGGTCTGAGAGAGTTGGAAAACTCTCGAGACTCTTCAAAGGTATATCAGAAAAGGTGTGGCTCCCGGACTAGTGTTTCCTATGGATGATCTGTGGCTTCTGTTGCTCTCTCTCTTCTCTCTCTCTCTCTCTCTCTCTCTCTCTCTCAGACAGGGTTTTACAAGGTTAGGTTAAGGTTCCTAACTTTATTTACAAACTAAAATCTGTTACCTACATCAGCTCATTTGAAAGACTGTTTATTGTTATGAGGCAAACAAATATGGAACAGGGTGAAGTTGGAGCCATCTGTGGGCCAGCGATTTTATTTGGTCAACTGACTTTTTTTCATCGATGTCATTATGCTCTCTTTCTTTCTCTCTCTCTCTCTCTTTTTCACAACCTTGTCAAGGTTACAAGTCAGTAGTTGTATGCTACCTGTCTGTCCAACTTTCTACAATACTGGGATTACAGTCACTGTTTTCCTTCTGTTTTTTGGCACTCGCCACGTCTCCAGTGACTTAATTTTTCTGGCGGTTCACACAGGGTTTCAGCTTCTTGCTTCAGAACCCAAGGTGATACAGTGTCAGGGTTCATTGCCTTTGAAGTTTGCTGATTATATTTATTTATTATTAAAGATTCGCCGGTATTCTCCCGGCCCGGGCTTTTTCCAAGTGGTGGCCCGGCCTTGGCTCCCTCTTTAGGGAGTGATACCTAAGTTTGCCATGGGAGGAGGCACAAGTACCTCCTCATCTTTGGGACTAACTGTCCCCAGGCCTAGCCACAAGCTAGGCCTTCTGGTCTGCCATCCCCTCCCCATAGGGGGCTAATGGATGACAGTCTATGAGCTAAATGCTCGGGCTCAGGCACCTACCCTACCCTAGAAGGGTTAGGCATGGTGTCGATCGCTGATTATATTCCCTGCTCCTCTGAGTTACGTGAAAGAATACTTATCAGTATTAGTGCCATAGACAATTTTGGTCCAATATTTTTCATTGTATAAATTCGTTGATGCTAGTTCATCGTTCGTATTATATTAAATATTTTTGTTTATTTTCTATAGCTAATTTTCAGTATATGGTAAAAAAAAGAATTATGGAAATGTTCCAATGTTTCCCGCAGTATCGACTTTTCTATTTCTTATGTATATATATATATATATATGTGTGTGTGTGTGTGTGTGTGTGTGTGTGTGTGTGTGTGTGTGTGTGTGTGTGTGTGTGTGTGTGTATGTATGTGTGTGTGTCTACAGAGCTGTGCGGTAACCAGTGTTTATAACATTTCAGGAGATCGAATTGGACGTGAGTGATGTGCCAGACTTACCTACACCTGAACCATCACCTGTGTTTGAGGTAAGGACTCTTTCTTTTTCTCTCTGAAAATTTTAGGAATACATGTAGTGTGCTGCTGCTGCTGTGATTGTTACATTGTTGCGGGGAAACTCCCACAGTGCGCTGCTGTCCTTTTCTCGTTATCTGTATGATTGTTGTGGTATGGAAATGTTAGTGTGCTGCTGCTACTACTGTATGTACTATTGTACAGATCAATCAGCTCATCCACCAGATTGTGAACCACTGTCACTGGCTCACAAGATGTGCTGTAACAGCACATCTCTGGGCATCTGCAAAAAAAAAAATCCGTATGGCGGAATTCGTACGTAATTATTTTTAAGACTAGGCTTGACCAGTCAAGCAGCAGACAAGCCTAGCCCAGGGCCTGGCTGCTGGATTAGGAGAACGCTCTAAACCCATCAAAGGAATACAGAATAGATCAAAATTCAGTTGTCTTTAGGTCATAGTTGAGTGAAAGAAAAAAGGTGACATATTTCTACTTTTGTTTTCGTATCGTGACATTCTGTAAGAATAAAAAAAAAAGACACGACTCATTTAGGACACTTTGAAAACGTGCCACATGACGTGGTGGGTGTTGAACTGTGGAAATAAGTCATTTTGACTTATTTTAGGGTTAGCCTAGGTAATTTACACATAGGGTACCATGTATAATAACTCGTGTAACTCACTTATGTATACTTCTACCTGAATGTACTTATTTACGTACTAACTAGATACGTCCAGGTTTGTGTACGTTCAGTGTGCCGGAACTGTCGATAGTTGGAAGGTGTACTGTGCTAAAATATTGCTGTGAAAAATGATCAATTTTATCAAATCTCGTCCGCTATATTGAAGGATTTTTACAATTGTGTGCAATGTGCAGTGAACGTTTCCGCACACTGAAATTATCGCTGGGTGAGGTTCACTCGGCGCTCTTTGAACCGAGACGCGAAGTTCAGAAATTTGTTTGCGGTCTACCTGGCTTACCTGTATTCTTACCTGCATTAACAGGACTGGTTACAAACACTAGTTTACCTGGCAGACATTTTCTCAGCTCTTGAGTTTACTGAATTAGTCTCCAGAGCGTGAGCGCCACAGTGTGCAACACACGAGACAAGGTCGAAGCAGCGGTAGAGTATCCTGACGTTCTTCTGGTCAACGTAAATGCGAGTTCCCACCAGCATTTTTCAGCGTTACAGAAATTTTTGGAAACAAATGAAATTGTCTTGTATGAACATATGAAAGACGTCGTAAGACGTCCAGCAGCTGAGCCAGCAACTATGGAGTTATTTGATAAGACACGTGTGTAACAGTTAGGTATATCTGGAAACTTTTGCCAACAAAGAGGAAGTTAAACATGCCATAATAAAGAATGCAGAATAGGCGAAACGTTTTGGAATAGAGATACGGAACTGTTGCGTATGCATCTTATCAACTTCTCAGTATTGTGTACCATTATCATGTACAGATAAACACCCCAGCGACCCGTCTCACACCTGAACCCACAGTCTACTTGTTATTTCTCCCCGTCACACACTTGTCACATTACTATCAAGAGTAACTTGTGGAGTTATCGTCTGATGAGCCAACTGTAAATACGTTTCCTTCGAAATCCTGTCTTTGGCCGGTTTTTCTGCGCTCACAGATCTGTATTACCCCGAGGCTGATAGCTGAGAAAGATCTGAGAGCGAAACTGGCCTCAGCTGCTGCTGACTTGACTGACCTTTGTGCTGAAATAAAGGTCCTTAAATCACACTGATAGATAAGCACCAAAACGTCAATATATAATATTTTATTTACACAATTCTTATTGTTTTTTCATTATTATTCACATCCGTAAGATGACATAACGTTGTATGTCTGAAATTTGTGCGATTATAGTTTAGTGCAGGAGTAAACATATGATGTTTGTGTTGACACTTGTGTGTCGTGTGTGCCGTTGTAAAAACATTAGTTATGAGTGACAAGGGTGAGGACGCGAGTGGGTGAACTAGGTCATAGTGTGGCACTGGGGTACGTGGACTAGGTCATAGTGTGGTACTGGGGGTACATGGACTAGGTCATAGTGTGGTACTGGGGGTACATGGACTAGGTCATAGTGTGGCACTGGGGGTACGTGGACTAGGTCATAGTGTGGTAATGGGGGTACATGGACTAGGTCATAGTGTGGTACTGGGGTACGTGGACTAGGTCATAGTGTGGCACTGGGGTACGTGGACTAGGTCATAGTGTGGTACTGGGGTACGTGGACTAGGTCATAGTGTGGCACTGGGGTACGTGGACTAGGTCATAGTGTGGCACTGGGGTACGTGGACTAGGTCATAGTGTGGCACTGGGGTACGTGGACTAGGTCATAGTGTGGCACTGGGGTACATGAACTAGGTCATAGTGTGGTACTGGGGGTACATGGACTAGGTCATAGTGTGGTACTGGGGTACATGGACTAGGTCATAGTGTGGCACTGGGGTACGTGGACTAGGTCATAGTGTGGCACTGGGGTACGTGGACTAGGTCATAGTGTGGCACTGGGGTACGTGGACTAGGTCATAGTGTGGCACTGGGGTACGTGGACTAGGTCATAGTGTGGCACTGGGGTACATGAACTAGGTCATAGTGTGGTACTGGGGGTACATGGACTAGGTCATAGTATGGTACTGGGGTACGTGGACTAGGTCATAGTGTGGTACTGGGGGTACATGGACTAGGTCATAGTATGGTACTGGGGTACGTGGACTAGGTCATAGTGTGGTACTGGGGGTACATGGAATAGGTCATAGTGTGGCACTGGGGGTACATTGACTAGGTCATAGTATGGTACTGGGGTGCGTGGACTAGGTCATTGTGTGGCACCGGGGGTACGTGAACTAAAACGTTCATTTACACGATAGTTACATTCTATGAGCACCTGTAAGGTGCTGCTGTCATGTACTCAATATTTACATATTGGGAGCGAACCTTAACTAGGTTACCTTGTCGTATTCCATCAGACAGGAGACGAACCATCTTAGGATTAAGACCCGTGTCAGGCCGCAGTTCCTGACGAATCAGTCAAACATCGCACAGAACGCGTCACATGACGCAGTGTCTGACTCAACTGGGAGAC